ATATATATAAATATATATATAAATATATCTTTCAATAAATCAATACTACTAATAAAATCGACATGAAGAAGGTGGCAAAGAAGACAAATGTCCCAACTCCCTACCTGTTCCTTTTTTTGAAGCTCAGGGGATTCTTAATTCTTGGATATTTCTTCTCAGAAGCTTCAGATAAATAACCCATCCCTGGTGGAGAAATGCTACCAATCACATATATATATATATATATTATATGTATATATGTACCCAGAGAGAGGGAAGCTTCTGTGGAGGGAAGAGCCAGAACACCTGAGGTGGTGGCCTGGGGATGGATGAAGACATGGGGATGCTGGGGGAGGGGTTGAGGAAGGGCTGAATGTCCCTTCCTGGGCCATTGGAGCCTTTAAGAAGAGCTGGTGTCACCTGCTTGGTCGCAGCCAATGGCACTGGAGTGGGGATGTCACCAGAGCTGTCACCTCCCCAGCTGGCAGGTGGCCCAGGAGGGATGGAGATGGGTTTGAGCTAAACCAGTGCTGGGGTGGGAACAAGCCACCCATCCCAGTTCCCACCCTTCCCACCAGGGCCTGGGGGGAGTTTAAGAACCTCCAAGTGTCACCTGGAGGTGGGAACCATCTCCAGCTTTCCTGCAGGCACCTGCTGCTTTATTTGCATTTCAAAAGCCACAGCCCTGATTATTTATTACTTTGGGGGTTTTGTTTTGGGGGGGGGAAAAAGGGAGATTTGCTCTGAAATATGGAAGAATCTCCACGTTTTTCATGGCCTTTCAGGTGCTGTCAAAGCCTCCAGCACCCACAGTGGTGGGGGCAGCACCTGGGCCTGGTGACAAACACCCCGTGTCCCCCCCACCAGCTCTTCCTCCCACAGGGATGAATTTGCTGCCCCAGCATCCCTGTTTCTTTTCCAGGCCTGGCAACAAAAAAAATCCATTCCCTTGACTCCTTCTTCTTCACCCAGGCCAGAGAAGCTCCATTTCCAGCCTTTCCCCAGTGCCAGCCCAGAGCTGGGACCACCAGTATCACCAGCACGGGCTGCTCGTGCTCCAGAGAGGAAGGGGCAGTGATGAAAACGCCCTGATTTCACCCCAAATCACAGCAGGAGAAAAGCCTTTTCACCCAACTTAGGTTGAGTTACATCCTCTGGTCTCTCACTTTCAGGAGCCAAGGGAGATGGACCCATGATGCCCCCACAATGTGCAGCACTTGGGAGGGTTTGGAACCTCTGATCTGGGTCCACCCATTAGGACATCCCAACCCTAATCAGGGTGAGGAAGTCCCTCACCATGAGGGAAGTGATGATGAGGTTGATCCATCATCTTCCTCCACATCTCTCCTACCCCCTGGGACTTCAAAGGAAGCATCAGTCCCACCAGGAGGGCCTGGATGTCCCCATCCCACAGCCAGGAGAGGGCACATCCAGGCTCCCCCAGCATGGGGAGGTGTGGGGTGGGACAACTGCTCCCCACCCCCTCCATCCCTCCACGTGCCAAGAGCTGGTCCCTTCTTGAGCTGGCAGAGCTTTTCCCAGCCTCCCTGCTGCAAAGGTGTGGTTGGTGGCTGCAGCTTTGGGCTCCAGGAGCTCCTCCTGAAGGCTGCCAGGAAGAGCATAAGGCAAAAACTCAGGGCAGCCACGTGGAACGAGCTGCAAAAGCAGCCAGAGGGGAAACTGAGGCACAGGGATGCAAAGCTCTGGCTCCTGAACCACCCAGGGCCAAGCTGCTCACCTTGAGGCCAGGGATGTGAAGCCAGTTGGTGCAACCAGGGCTGCAGGGACAAGGGCAAAGAGCTTCTTCCTCTCCCTGCTTCTATTCAGAAGGAATTGATGGCCCTGCAGGCTTCATTTTCTGCTCTCTGATAAATCCAAGTGACAGCAGCAGGAAGCACAGGATTAACCTTCTGGGCCCAGGGATGGAAAATCTCCATCCAACAGGGGTGAGCAGAGACAGGGGTGACTCCTCCACCCCCTTCTCTCGGGGTAAAGGGGAACACGAGGCAGTGCTGACACACAGAGACCTGGGGGCAACGTCCTTGCTGCTCCTCTACACCCCAGAGGGGGGTTTTGCTGCTCCTCTGCACCCCCAGAGGGGGGTTTTGCTGCTCCTATTGAGCAGGAGAAGCTGCTGGTTTGGTTTGTTGGGGTTTTCTTGTTTGGGGCTGGTGGGTTTTTTTTAGGGTAAAATTCAAGAGGATGGGAGTGATGATGAAGACAAAGCTGGAGCTGGCCAAAAAAAAATAAATAAAAATGGCTTGGAAAACACCAGGAACAAAGTGATGAATGATGTTATTAATTGCACCACCAACCTCCTCATTAATGGTGCTGAATGAATGGACTTGGCTCTTGCAGGGGCAAGATCCAGCCCGTCAGGGTTGGTTCATGGCCACGAGGAGGGTGATGGGGGATGCAGAAGGAGCTGGACTGGGAAAGCACCTTGGTTTTTTTTCCCTTTGACATTGGATATGAACCAATTCATGAGCCTTTTTCCCCAGGGCATCTCTGTCCCCCAGTTCCCCCCTGCCCCCCAAAACCTGCTTGGGAACACCCACCAGAGCTGACAAAGTGCTCCTGTTTCCTCCAAGAAGCAATAAGGAAACCACCAGCAAATCAAACGAGGCCAGGGAGTGACCAGTGACCCAGAAGGGTGGGTTTTTTGCTGATTTTTTGGGCTGGGAGGGGACGTTTGGTGGCTGCTCCAGCCAGAACTTGACATTTAAAGCAGAATTCTCAGCTTCGCCTTCAAATCCTCCAGCTCTGACCCTCCCCTCCACTCCTCTGGAGCTGACCTGAATTACCAGAGGCTCTGCTGGGGTTTGTGTTTGGAAGAAACTCTTCTGAGCTCACCCAATCCCTCCGGCACATGAAATCCAGCTGGAAGGGTC